CATAAATTGAATATATATAGGGTTCTTTGAAATGCTTACTCTAAACCTGTATTTCTTTTCAGTATTAATAAGATAATACCACATTGAGGTCCAAAGGGTCCTAAATTACACTTGATTAATTTCATCAAAAATTGAATTCTTTGGTTATTTGATATGCTGATTCTAACAATGTTTGAGTGTTAAATCATATCTAATTTTAGAGAACTTAGTCATCACTGGTTGTTGTTATTATATTATTGATTATAATTTGAATAAAATGCTCCACTGGGCGCAGCTTGATACGACCGCAGAGGTCGAACCCTGAACAGTTGGGGCAAGTATGGACACAACATTCAAGCTTGATACAGCTCTGAATCTGGATTGTGATTAAATATTTGACACAGCATAGGTTTCTGACACAAAATGAATGTGGTCTAAGAACTTAAAAAAATTTATTTTACCTATTCAAACCATATCATTATTATTTGCTTTTATATATAAATCAGAAATAACCAATTTAAAATAAAAATTTTAAAGAAAAAAAAAAAGGAAAAAAAAATCCCTCCCCTAAATTTTTTGAACCCCCTTATGATTCATCACCCCAAAACTCAATCCCAGCCTTCCCTTTGTGGTATGGTACCTTGCAGTACAATTTCAGAGAGATCCATACACTTGAACACAAGTTATTGTCTGGAAACTAGAAAAATGCTTGTTTTTAGGCCCCAAATTCCTAAACATTTAGGGCAATTACCCCCAAACTCAAACCCAGCTTTCCCTTTGTGATATGAAACCTTGTAGTACAATTTCATAAAGATCCATACACTTACACAAGTTATTGTCCTGAAACTAGAAAAATGCTTGTTTTTTTGCCCCTTTTTGGCCCCTAATTCCTAAAATTTTAAGGCAATTACCACCAAAATCAACCCCAGCCTTCCCTTTGTGGTATGGTACCTTGCAGTACAATTTTAGAGAGATCCATACATTTGAACACAAGTTATTGTATGGAAACTAGAAAAATGCTTATTTTTGGCCCCTTATTCCTAAACATTTTGGGCAATTCCCCCCAAACTCAATTCCAGCTTTCCCTTTGTGATATGGAACCTTGTACAGTAGACTCCGGCAAATCGGATACCCAAAATGTCAGCTAAAAATATCCGATTACCCGATATATTCAATTAGACGATGAATGTATATTCATTGAATATTCTGCAATAATGAGTAGATATAATCCTGAGATGTTTCTAACCCTGAAAATTGCTAAATATGTGAAAGGGCTGGAGGATTGATGGAGTGATTTTTATCAGTTACATCACCACGATGTTTGTGTAAAAAATTATCAGCTGATTATGTAATGATTAAATTTGTTTGCATGTAGTACAATTTCAGAAAGATCCATACACTTACACACAAGTTATTGTCATGAAACTAGAAAAATGCTTGATTTTTTACCCTTTTTTGGCCCCGAATTCCTAAAATTTTGAGGCAATTACCCCCAAAATCAATCCCAGCATTCCCTTTGTGATATGGAACCTTGTGGTACAATGTCAGAGAGATCCATACACTAACACACAAGTTATGTCTGGAAGTTACAATTTTGCTTATTTTTGGCCCCTTTTGGGCCCCTAATTCCTTAACTGTTGGTACCATAACCCCCAAAATCAATCCCAACCTTCCTATTGTGGTATTGAACCTTATGGTAAAATTTCATAGAGATCCATTCATTTAAACTAAAGTTAGAGTGCTGGACGACGACGCCAACGTCATACCAATATACGACCACAAAATTCTTTTGCGGTTGTATAAAAATTGCATCATATCTTATTTTAGAGAACTATTTATCCAATTTGAGTTATTCCCTTTGCACAGAAAATATTATGGATAAAATTAACCTGTGTTTCATTTCAACATAAATTAAATATATATAGGGTTCTTTCAAATGCTGAATCTAAACCTGTATTTAAATATTAAATTTTTGGGCCCAGTTTTCAATTTGGTCCAAATCAGGGTCCAAAATTAAACTTTGTTTGATTCAAAAAAAAATAATTTATGGGGTTCTTTGAAATGCTGAATCTAACCATGTATTGAGAGATTTTGGATTGTGGGCTCCTTTATCAAATTGGTCCACATTGAGGTCCAAAGGGTCTTAAATTAAACTTTTATCTGATTTCATCAAAAATTGAATTCTTGGGGTTCTTTGATATGCTGATTCTAATATGTACTTAGATTTTTGATATTGGACCATAATAGGTATTTAAATGTCCAATTTCAAGTATTTCAGATCTTAAACCACATTCATTTTGTGTCACAAACCTATGCTGTGTCAAATATTCAATCACAATCCAAATTCAGAGCTGTTTTAAGCTTAAATGTAGTGTCCATACTTGCTCAACTGTTCAGGGTTCGACCTCTGCAGGAAATTGGGTTTGCTGTCACTCTGACAGCCTCTTGTTAAACTGATTGATTGATGGTGTTGAACACCATTTTCAGCCATATTGGCTATATTGTGGTGGTGTTTTTATTGGTGGAGGAAGCTGGAGTGCACGGTCAGAACCAATACCTGCACAAGGGAAAACTGACAATCCTAGTCAATTGAGATTGGAATCAAATGCACCTACCACTTGCAGGGCTCGAACTCACAACCTGTGTTGACAGGCTTGAACTAACTAATTCCCTGCTACATCCAGTTTTTATACGCCTGTCAAATTTTTGATGGGACGTATTATGGTATACAAATGTCCGGCGTCTGTCCGTCTGTCTGTTCGGCGTAAACATGTCGCACCGTAACTTGAGAATGACTTATCCAAATTTCATGAAACTTAACATAGTTGTTTCTTATGATGGTCAAACGATCTGTATACTATTTGGTGAAAATAAGATTAAAACTTTTTGAGTTACGGGACTTAGTAACTAAAACAGGTGTGTTTTTTTTCACATGTTGCGCCGTATCTCAAAAACAATTTATGATTATTGCTTAAAACTTTACACACTTCTTAGTTATATTAATCTTAAGATCTGTATACTTTTTGGTGATGATTCAAAATTTTATTTTAGAGATATTGAGTATTTTGTTAAAAAAGGGGGAGGGGTTTTTCACATGTCGCGCCGTATCTCAAAAACAGTTTATGATTATTGCTTAAAACTTTACACACTTCTTAGTTGTATTAACCTTAAGATCTGTGTACTTTTTGGTGATGATTTAAAATTTTATTTTTGGGTTATTGATTATTTGGTAAAAAAAGGGGGAGGGGTTTTTCACATGTCGCGCCGTATCTCAAAAACGATTTATGATTCTTGCTTAAAATTTTACACACTTCTTAGTTATATTAATCTAAAGATCTGTATACTTTTTGGTTTTGATTCAAAATTTTTTGAGATATTGATTTTTTTTTTTTTAAAAGGGGGGTTTTCACATGTCGCGCCGTATCTCAAAAACGATTTATGATTATTGCTTAAAATATTACACACTTCTTAGTTATATTAATCTAAAGATCTAGTATACTTTTTGGTTTTGATTCAAAATTTTATTTTAGAGATATTGAGTTTTTTGTAAAAAAAAAAGGGGGGTTTTCGCATGTCACGCCGTATGTCAGAAACTATTTATGCTTATTGCATAAAAATTCACACACAAGACGACAGGCGTATCATGCGCTCATGGCGCAGCTGTTTATTATTGTTTGTTCTTATGTTGTACTGTTACACCACTTTATCAGCAATTTATACATTTTTCCTTTGATCTTACTGCCTTATATATTCTATAACATGGACAGGGCCTGATACTCGAAAATATTTAGCAATGACGTCACATAACAGTGCAGCAACGTCACATGTTAATGTTCATCCGCGTCAATTTGTCAATGAACTGAACACAACTCCATTCACAATTAAATATCACAACGTTTTGTACGTATAAAAATAGTTTTACTCACTAATTTTATTTCATATTCTCAACCAAAAAAACATGCAGTTTAGACAAATTACCGATAAAAAGAATGGCATATTATTTTTGATACTGACTTCATCAGCTTGAATATCAGCTTGCCCTAGCGAGCTCGCTTGATATTTTTGCTGATGAAGTTAGTATCAAAAACACAAATGCCATTATTCTTTATGTCCCAGGTTAGGGGAGGGTTTGGCTCCAGCAAACATGTATAACCTCACCAAATTCTTTATGTGCCTGTCCAAAGTCAGGAGCCTGTAATTGAGTGGTTGTCTTTTATTGCTGCTTTTTATATTTGTTTTTCATTTGAATGTTCTTGTGTTATGCCATTACACCACTGTCCCAGGTTAGGGGGAGGGTTGGTGCCTTTAAACATGTTTAACCCGCTACATTCTTTATGTTCCTGTCCCAAGTCAGGAGCCTGTAGTTCAGTGGTTGTTGTTGGTTCATGTCTGTCATATTTTTTTTTCGTAAATTGTTTTGTTATAAATTAGGCCGTTAATTTTCTGAATTGAATTGTTTTATATTTTTTATTTCGGGACCTTTGATAGCAGACTATACAGTATGGGTTTTTCTCATTGTTGAAGGCTGTACTGTTGCCTATACTGCATTTTAACTTGGGTGGATAGTTGTCTTATTGGTAATCATACCACATCTCCTTTTTTTTTATTTGTGATACAGTAGACGAACTACTTAGACCACTCGGCCACTGAGGCCCCTAAATATTTCAGAAGGCGTGTGTGAAATCACTAGAGATTTGAAGAACTGTCAAAATTGGGGTTTCCCTAATTTAGACACTTACTACTCTTTTAGACACATGGCACTTTAGAATGTTATTGTATAGAAACCAGTCTTTCGTAGAAGACTCCCCATTTGGTTTTTTGTGCTGTATTGATATTTACCTCACATTTCCTTTATATATTTAGTTTAAATGCATTAGGTGAATTAACAAGTGAAGATGAGCATTTAGGAATGCAAAAAACAATTCTGTGTACATGTATGGTGTCCCAAATGGCTAGATATGTAACAAGCTGTTATTTATGTTTTATAAGTTCTTCATACCAACTAACAAGTAAGGTAAGAATTCACGGACATATAATTTTTATTTCTAAAAAAAGGAAAAAAAGATCATAAATGTATTTGATTGACAATAGACAAAGTAATAAATTATGTCATGTTCTACAAATATTACACTGCAGTAAAGATAATTGTAACACCTGATATAAACTCTATAGATGAATATTTAATATAAAGTTTTTCTGCCGGTCATAATACATGGGACTAGAGTTATCAGATACCGGGTACATTTAAACAATAGACCTAATGAAAAATATGTGATTGCATTCTCTGTTTTACAAATATTCTGTACAAAAAAAAAACACATGTTTTTGTTGTTCAATAATGGACAAGCAAGGTTTAATATTTTATTGCTAGGATTAATGTTTCCTTAATAAATTATGTCATTAAATTCAACTTTGGATTTCATGAAAATATGTGACCATTCATTTAAATATTTGGCTATTTAGTTTTCTGTGCTTCAAGAACTGATTATCATGCATAAATTTGTATTTCACATTCAAGTATACATGAATGACTATATAAACTATATTATGGAACTTTACAAATTTTAAAGTGTATGGGAGTAAAATCTTGAAATGATCAACACAATAAAATTGATTCATCAATAAAATGTATATTCATGCACTTCAACTATATAATCATATTTCAATAGAACCTATCTAAAATAATGCTGTAAGTTCATCAGATCCACAAAACCATTATCATTCTAACACAATTAAAAATAGATAATAAATACACATTAAGTTATAACAAAACAATGATGGAGAGTGTAAACAAGGTTATTATTACATAAAATTAAAACAGTTTTCTTAAGTGAATTTGTTTAATGCCGAATGAAAATAATATAACGATTAATCATTGTTTCCTGGATATATAATGTCAAATTAAAAAAAAATTAAAAAATCCCCAAATAACTTATCTGTTTATATGTACAATAAATTCATTAATACTTTTATTCCATCGAATTTACCATTCCTATCCTTGTTTATGGCACGATGATTATATTTCAAAGACTGAAAGCTCTTAAAACTCCAAATGGTAAATATCTATTTATTATCCCTGTATTTAGTTACATAATACAAAAAAGACATCTGTACACCAGTTACAACAGTATCTATTTTCCTACTAATTGTTTCCTTTAATAACACTTATTAAACAACAATTTGTTTTTTCTATTTTTTGTCTGTTTTGCCTGCAATTCTTTCAAAAGTTTATATACATTGAAATTTCATATGTATTTTTTTCCATTGACTACCCTTTGCGTAATAAAATTTTTATGTATTTTTTTTCATTGACTACCCTTTGCGTAAAAAAAAAATTGCTGAAAAAACTATAAAGTACCCTGACATTTTTCTGCAGGAGCCAATAATCATTGCTAAAAATACATATACAATCACAGTAGACTCTCCTAATCATCCCCCCTTTAGCTCAGTAAAGCAATTTCTTGATAATCACATATGTTCTGGGTGGTTCTTCAGACAGTCCATGAATTGTTTAACATCTGTCTCTTTTTTACATATTCTATGGATAGCTGTAAATAATGGAAACCTGCAAAATAAATCAGCATATATTTTAAAATTCAGTGTTCCTTTTTAATGTCTATATAATGAAGAGAGGCAAGTTTGTCATATTTAGGTAATTTTTGAACATTTATGTCTTTGCATACAAATTCTTATTAACACGATGACTGTGAGCTATTGGGTACCAATGACACCCCCCTATAAATATTCTGTAAACATATAAAGTTGATGAGCCTTGGATGTCAAATCATATCACATGACATAACACATGACTCTGAAGACAAAGAAGGAGGTGCACCTAGGTTTTTTTCTCATACAAGGCCATTGTGTGTATTGATATACAAGTATTAAGTATATTGATGAGCCCAGAATGTCAAAATGCATCATACAATAAAGCATGGTCACATGAAGCTTAATACCCAATTTCAGAAAGCTCTGATTTGTAGTTTCTAATTTTTTTTAAAAACAAGGCCATAATGGGTTACAATATAAAAGTATTTGGTGAATAGGAAGTGGATGAGTGATGAAACTGCAAATGCATTACACAGTATAGATTGCTCATACGAAGCTTGATACCAATATTTAGGAAGCTCAATATTGTGGTTCTTGAGAAAATTATAACCAATATTTTATGGGATAGATGGATGTACAGACACTATACCCTATCCCCTCTCCCTTCCTTTCAGAGTGAGGGAAAAATTAATAGATAGGAAAAATAAATGGAGAATGTGTCTATGGGCCACACTTGTAAATATGCATGAGTCAACTTCCACATACAGATGCAGGATTCATGTAGTTAAAGGCCGTTTTGTGATTATAAGCATAAGTTTCAATACATTTGGTTGAGGCAAACTAAAGTGAGAGAATGGAAATGAAAAATTCAGCAGTTTTTATGTTTATAAAAGGCATAACTCATGTATGGTAAGAGTGACACCACCCAATTTCGAACTTGATCTATGTTTTGTGGTAATAAGCATTGTGTATAAGTTTTATCACTAGAGGCAAACTAAAGTAAGATAAACTGTTATCACAGAGATATGTCTCGCCTTTTTGTAATTTTGATAATGCAAATGTTGAAATTAAAATAGCAATACTTTAACATGTAAGTTATGCAAGTATTCAAAGACGATGAACCATGACTGAAGGTACATGGCTAAACAATCTCCATGGAATGAGATGTGCCAATGCTAATACAACTTCATACCAAATACCATTGACTTATTATAAGTTGTTCCCTTTAAATAAACCTAAACACAAACATTAACTTGTAAACTATGTAAAAGTTTCAAAGTCAATGAACTATGATCAGGGGTGGGGCTATATAATCTCCATGGAAATGATACTTGCAAATGCCAATAAATTTGCATACCAAAAATCATTGACTTAACATTAGCAGTTCATCTTAAACTGATCTAATCACAAACTAATACATGTAAACTAAGCAAAAGTTTCAAAGTAAATAGACCGTGACTGAGGGGGCGGGGCCAAATATTCTCCATGGAAATGAGATGTGCTAATGCTTATACAACTGAACACCAATTAACATTGGCCTACCACTAATGGTTCCCCTTGAACTGACCTAATCACAAACTAATACATGTTAACTTAGCAAAATTTTCAAAGTCTATAGACCATGATTAAGGGGGCAAAGCCAAATAATCTCCATGGAAATGAGATATGCCAATGCTTATACAACTGCATACCAAATATCATTGACCTACCACTAGTGGTTCCCCATGAACGAGACCAAATCACAAACTTATACATTGTTGACGCCGCCACCGCCGGAAACAGCACACCTATGTCCCGCTTTTTGACTCCGTCAAGGCAAGACAAAAACGGAAAAGAAATATTCAGCAATTTTTAAGTTTATACTGACAACTCAAATGAACGGTAAAAGGGAAGCCACCCAATTTCGAACTTGATCTGTGTTTTGTGGTAATAAGCATTGTGTATAAGTTTTATAACATTTGGTTGAGGCAAACTAAAGTTAGAGAACGTAAACCAATTTTCGGGACGGACAGACGGAGGCATAAAAATGTATGTTACCAAATAAACTAACCTTTCCTCCATATTTTTATTCTTTAACATGTAATTCACTTCAAATGCTGTAGGTGGACCTTGTAACTTCTGACCATTTAACATTTCCTTTTCTAGTTCTTCTATACTCTGCAAGAAAACATAGATAATTGTATACCCTATACAGTCATTTACTATTATGTTTCATGTGAAATAGACTCAAATCTATATCATAAAGATTATATCTGACAGTATTTCAGCTGGAAAAAAAGTATAACTAAGATCAATCTGCTTTTCACACTTGTTGCAATTAATATGATTTTTACCTTATAAAAGTCATTATTAAATGATAATGATTATTCAAATTGTAACTCATGTATTTTACAGAAATTTGCAACTCCACAACTGAGGATATATGTTATAGGTTCCAACTCATTACTGAGAAAGCTGCTGACCAAATATCACATCATTCTGTTAAATAGTACCTGAGAAAGTGTGACAGAAATATTTTTGTTGGAGGAAAGGACAAATTGACAGACGGACTGACAAAGGTGAATGCAATACAGCCTTCCACACTCCAAGTTTGGGTATAAAGGAATGAGAATTACCATTATACACTAATGAACATAACAGGTTAAAAGATAAAAAGTCTGCATAAATGTGGGAATTACAGAATGACAGGACAGACATTCATTATATCCTTCTATCAAATTACATATGTTCTACTGTACGTCATGGCCACTGGGTGATAGGGCATACAAATCTGATACTGATGCTGCATATCTTTTAGTAGTTTTTATTCTCACCATTCCATTGTCTGTGTTTTTTTTTGACAATTTGAGCATATCAATTCTAAAGTTTTATTTGTCTAACATACCTTTCCTGTTTTAACAAATGCTTCTGCTACTCTCCTGTTTCTACCTCCATAACATGTCGTTACTAAATCAGCAACTCCACAACTTTCCAAAAATGTCCCTTGTTGAGATTCTGAGATATAAGATTAGTATATTTTTCAGTTTCATAATGTTTAGTGCATAAAAAACTAATCTGCTTCAACTTTTGTATATATCTTCTGTAAGATATTACTTTTCACAAGGCCAATCTTCATGAAACTGTTTAAAATTAGGAATTTTGAAATAAAATAATTAAATCAACAGACTCCTTTTAATAATTTCTCATTGATAATCTGCTAATAATATGGATACAAGAAAAATCATGTACATCTGAGTCAATTTCCCTAATAAATCTCAAAATGAGGAACATAACTAAGATATGTAAAAAAAACATCTGTGAACAAGCATTCTGAGAGTATTGCATGGCAATACATAGTCCCCTACCAGGTAAAAATTTATTATACTGGAACAAAATGCTAACTTGTTCTATAACTTGTCATGGTGTAAACAAAAAGAAAATATCAAGTCAATATCTTCAAGCATGACTAAAAACAGTGTGGAAAACTGAATATATGAGTGATTTTTTTCAAATCCAAGGACCATAACTCTGCACAAAATTATCAGACCGAAACAAAAATTTGAACTTGATCTGTAGCTTGTCATGATAAAACTATATACCAATTGTCAATCAATATCTTCAAGCATGATGAAAAAAAGTGTGGAAAACCTATATCGCTCTATTAAACATTAGATATGATTAATAGTTCTGTAAAATAAGATATGATATAATACAACATATATCTATTTTCAAATTACAATCAAATATAATTAATAGTTCCAAATATTTTTTCTTTCATTTGTCACAAACTAATATAGTTTGTAACATATCTATAAAATGTCAACAACTTTTATCTACACAATGTAATGTAATGAAATATACACCTAAATAAAAATAGATTATTATCTAATTAAAGGATTTCACTTAATAACAAAAAAATATTCATATATACATGTAGCATTCAGAAAATTAGTATACAAAATAACATATAAAGCTGCCACAAAATTCCTCAAACAATTTACCAAAGAATGTTTTTTAAAAAAATGAGTTATCTCCCTTTGTACAGAGTATATGGTTTAACATAGTACTCTTAACATTAGTTTTATGAACCATAACTCTGGACTAAATCATCAGACCGAAACAAAATTCGAACTTGATCTACGACTTGTCATGATAAAACTATATACCAAATATCAAATCAATATCTTCAAGAATGAAGAAAAAAAGAGTGGAAAGCTGAGTTGCCGGACTGACGGATGGACAGACGGATGGACAGACGGACAGAGTGCAAACCTAAATGATACTGAATATGTTGCTTTTTATTAATAATTGACTGAGCTTAACCATTATACTTCTTTGAAATGCAGAGGACAGTAGAACTAGGATGTAAATAAATGGAGAATGTTTCCATGGGACATAAATGATGCGCCCTCTTGCACTTACGTTATAAAGGGACATAACTGAAGCATGCTAAAAGTGACACCACCCAAATTCAATTTATTCTGATTTTTGTGGTAATAAGCATTGTGTATAAGTTTCATAACATTTGGTTGAGGCAAACTTCAGTTAGAGAACGGAAACTCCATATCTAAAGGGGATAACTATACAATGGTAAAAGTGACTACATCCAAATTCAAACTTGATATGTGTTTTGTGATAATAAGCATTGTGTACAAGTTTCATAAATTTTTTTTTAGGAAAACTTAAGTTAGAGAATAGAAACCAATTTCGGGACGTACATTCAGAGGGACAGACGGGCAAGGGTAACACTTATTGCCCCCTCCGCTACGACGGGGGCATAAAAATAATGAGTTATTAAATGTTTTCAAAGACCCGAATTTGAAGAGCATTCCATTTTGAGAAAATAAGGGTTTCTTTACCGTGAGAAGCTGTAATACAAAGGGCTTGAATTGAGAACTAAGATGGACTGAATGAGAACTAGACAAAATATAATTGAGTAAATCAGAATCAAGAGAATCTTGGGAACTATTGCAATTTCTATTTCATGTCTGCTAACACAAAATAAAATGCAGACAGTTTCAACTCAAATGTATCTTTTTTTTTAAATAATTTTCTTGACTGTAACCTAAGAGTCCAACTAAAGCTTATTTATAATTTTTGTATAAGTTATGTGTAAAATGTATGCAATATTGTGCTCACAGAGTTGTCATAGACATTTTTTTCATTCCATAATGTGTGACCTTAACATAAGATCATGTTATGTTAGAAATAATAACAAAGCTTGAATATATATACCATGCACATATAAGATATGCAAATTATCTCTAATAAACTAACGGGTAGGTACCCTGGGTTTCATTATTCTTGAGAAAACTGGCATTCTTATTTAAGTTATTCTACATAACATTTTGTAAATTCTGGCAGTATCAACCAGTAATGAGGACAGGTAGAATTCCTGCCCCTTTAAGTTGTAAATCAAATTTTATACTCTTTGAGAAATGTCCTAAACAGCATTTGAAAATTGAAAGCACAATCTGTTTGATTTCTTTCATCATGCTTTCAATCTAAATTTCTTAGTAAAAACAAAAACGTTGACTTTTTTCCTCCACCATACTTCCTCAGTCTAACCTAAACATTAGAGTAATCACTATCTATCACCAAGTATTGTGCAAAGCTTGATTAGACAATACATGAAGAACCTACATGGAAGCTAAAGCTATAAAGTGGAGAAATATACTCAAACTAATTGCACAAAAATGACTTCTCAGCTTATCATACAATTCATTTTGCTGTGAGGCAAAAGTTAATTTAAGAAATAATGCCAATTCTAAATTATAAATCATGCATGCTATTACAAGCAACATAAACATAAGGATAGGTGGTATGTTGGACATCATTTAGAATTGTTATTACTTTATTAGCTGGGGCAAACAGTTAAGTACAATATAAATCCCATTCTACTATTGCAGAACCTATTAAATGTGCAAGTATACTTACTTGAATCAGTAGCTTGATTAGAAGTAATATAATAGTTCAGTAACATATCTATTGAAAAACTACTATTAATGCATTGACAGCACTATCCGCATTAAAAGATTAGATTCTACTTTTCTTAAAAGTATTTTTGTTTTGTTGTTTTTTATGTTGGATAATCAGCATACGGCCAATGATAATGCTGGTATTTTGCATATGACTATAAAGAGTACTGGAAGATGTATTATTAAATGATATGAACAAATCAGCCCTAAAACAGATAAATCAGCATGTGCAATACTGATAACATTACCCTGTTGATATAAATCATGAGTTAATTTTGCTTTTCAGACCAGTCCAATACAGAATAAAATGCTCTGCTGGGCGCAGCTTGATATGACTGCAGAGGTCTAACCCTGAACAGTTGGGGCAAGTATGGACACAACATTCAAGCTTGATACAGCTCTGAATTTGGATTGTGATTAAATATTTGACACAGCATAGGTTTCTGACAAAGCATGAATGTGGTCTAAGAACTTAAAAAATTTTAATTTACTTATTCAAACCATATCATTATTATTTGCTTTTATATATAAATCAGAAATAACCAATTTAAAATGGGAAAATTTTAAAGTAAAAAAAAGGAAAAAAAGGAAACCCCCCCCCCCCCCCCCAAATTTTTTTAACCCCCTTATGATTCATCATCCCCAAACTCAATCCCAGCCTTCCCTTTGTGGTATGGTACCTTGCAGTACAATTTCAGAGAGACCATACACTTGAACACAAGTTATTGTCTGGAAACTAGAAAAATGCTTATTTTTGGCCCCTTTTTCCTAAATGTTTTGGGCAATTACCCCCAAACTCAATTCCAGCTTTCCCTTTGTGATATGGAACCTTGTAGTACAATTTCAGAAAGATCCATACACTTACACACAAGTTATTGTCCTGAAACTAGAAAAATGCTTGTTTTTTGCCCCTTTTTGGCCCCTAATTCCTAAAATTTTGAGGCAATTACCCCCAAAATCAATCCCAGCATTCCCTATGTGATATGGAACCTTGTGGTACAATGTCAGAGAGATCCATACACTAATACATAAGTTATGTCTTGAAGTTACAAAAATGCTTATTTTTGGCCCTTTTGGCCCCTAATTCCTTAACTGTTGGTACCATAACCCCCAAAATCAATCCCTACCTTCCTTTTGTGGTATTGAACCTTATGGTAAAATTTCATAGAGATCCATTCACTTAAACTAAAGTTAGAGTGCGAAAACCAATGTGTCTTCGGACGACGACGACAACATCATACCAATATACATCCGCAAAATTTTTAATTTTTTGCGGTTGTATAAAAAGCAGTATAGGTTCATGGGCTAATACGAAACGTTCATTTCCCATTTCAATTTTTTAATGCCTTACCTAACTTTCGACATATCGTTTTGCATTAGATACATTTGTATCATATTTTGTAACTTATAAATACATTAAAAGAATTTAAATGCTGGTTTGTGTTTTGTAACGACTTGAAATGGAAATATTTCACAGCCTTTTCAATGAAAACTTTTGATTATTATCACTGTTTCATTTCAATCATCAGAACACAATGATTCAAGAGAAAAAATGGTTTATTCTTCTCAGCTGCTATTAAATATTTGCTGGATAAAATGAATTGTAAAAGAATATATTTTATTAATTGGACAAGAAATCAGAAATTACATCAATGTTGACAAAAATGCATTGTGATTGCGAAAAGACAAGTTCAAATATGAATTCCTGTATCTTCTTCTCTGTAAGTTTCTTAGTTTAATCAAAGAATTAAAATCATTTAATAATAGTGTTATGAACTGGCTGTTTCTGTATTGGCCCAGTGATAGATTCTCGATCAGCTGTATTGGCCCTGGACTCTTCGAGTCTCGGGGCCACTACAGTTAACCTTAAATCTATAAGAGGGCATATACAGAAACAGCCAGTTAATAACACTGTAATGTTTTGTATCTGTTCCAACTTTATTTAAGATCTATAAAATCTTTGTAAGCTGTACATGCCAATCTAACATGAGTCACCTGTCATTCACCTCTTTCATGGTTTAGTGAACAGTTAAAGTTTTAGAACTTTATTTCTCACTTACTTAAAACTACAGTTTAATCATTTTGGTCTACTGAATCATTTTGCAAACATGTCTTTCTGCAAGGAGCCATCCAACTTTGACCTTACTTTATGGTCAAATGATCAACATGAAGTTTTTGTGCATTGGGCAGTTTTTCAATTACAATGAGTCATATGTCAGCTATATTTGGTCTAAATCATTGTAAAGTATACTTGACTGTCTAATAGGGTTTATCTGACCTTGACCTCATGTTCAGGGTCAATGATCAATGGTATGCTTTCCTACACAGGTCAGTTTCTTCAGTTACTGTAAACAGGGAAATTTTCACGGTAGTTTTATTTTTGCTATTTTCACAGTAAGAGTGGAAATGTGAAAATAAAACTTCTAAAAAATATTTCAAGAACTGATTCAGAGAATGAAGACAATCTATTAACGTATACTAATAAGATTATGTACACAGAGCCAGATTATAACAACAGTTTTTCAGACGACAAGTCTATATATATCACAAATTAAAACTTATTTCTAAATGAAAGGCAGTGTTAGAAACCAACACCTTTAACTCATGACAATCAAGATAATATGAAATCTATTTTAAGGAACCGAAAAATTTTGATATTGTTATATAAACATCACTTGTGACAATTAGAAAAATGACACCTTCAATCATTTTTTAAATGATTACCACATTTAATCTGCTATACTTATTAATAAGATTAAAAGATTAATTAGCCATAATCCTCGCAGCTTCTAATTTGATTTTACTGATTTGAAAGCATTCTTTTTATGTTAATAGTGTATATGTTTTTATAAGTAAACATAAATGTAACGGTTTTCTATTACTTAATATAAGTCAATTCACAAATAACTTAAAATACACATGTACATCAATGAATGACGAAAATTGTTCACTTAGTTTAGACAAAAAGGTTTTTGATCGATTTCCAGCACTTGCTTTACAATATGTGCATAACTATGCTGTTTTAAAATCATTTACTAATTTTGTACAGGCCTTTACAAATCGCGAATTGATAACGGCGCAAATTAAGATTCAGTTGGTAAATCGTGAAATAAAGACTGCACAAAAATTTCCCGGTTTACAGTATTTATATAAAGTAGGTGTTAAGAGTGACTTTCTGAACTTATTTCATAAGACTTGGTCCATGCTTTTATGTTCTACATAATTATGTTAGTATTTATTTTCACTACACAACTTTGAAATTCATCAGCTTTCCTTTAAAAGCCAAAATAAATCTGAAGAATTAATATTGGTATGAGACACATAAACAGTAAAATGATACTGCAGTGTGAATAAAAATGTTCTAATCATAAAACCAAGTTATCCAGCATTGAATATTGAGCCATGAATTTCAATAATCTTTTCCTGAAGAGGTGGACCTCATTACAAAGGTCTTCTTTTGAATACTTAATACTTATATTAGTTTATGAATAAATATCTGAAAACAATTATGTTATTATGTAGGTTTCTGTAACCTACATAGCGAGCTTTTTCTTCAAGATCTATTATCTGAAATTACCATTACTTTTAATATAATTTACTGTAACTAACTGACATAATAATCTACAGTTGTGAAGACAATGTGCATTGTAAGATACTAGTACACTTACTTGTAATTCAAATTGCAACAAGCAATGTAAATACATGCCAGAGCATATTACATACCTGGGTAAAAAACTTCACAGAATTTAACCATTTCCATAAGTCCTAATCTGATCACAGCTGCCTTTGTGTTATCACCATACCCTAAACCATCAGCAAAACCAGCACCAACTGCCACAATGTTCTGAAATATTAAATAAAAATACAAGTTAGGTCATGCCTGCTACACACCAACATAAAAACACCAATTTCATAGCCAACATTTATAACTTGGAATATGGGAGATAATACCAATTATCAAGTATTTAAAGGATTCACCTGAGCCGAAAACGTCAGATTACATTGAACAATGTAATAACTTTAAAACTATTAAACATGATTAAGCGTAAGGCTTCAGAATCTACATATTTAGACCCTCATACAAAAGCCTTCCAAATATCAATTGTCCATTATAAATAATTCTCCTTAGAATGCAATGCTTAAAGAATGAAATATCATTGCTTACTTACTATTAATGATCTATTTTGGACAATTACATAGTGGTTTTTCTTTAATCTATAATTCAATGACTATAAAAATATTTACAAAAGAGCAGAGTTCCAATGTCCCCCGCGTTGCACATATTTTGTCTGTCTAAGGGCACTTTTGTTCTTTAAAATCTTTATAAATATGTTAGAAAAATGAGGTGAGCAAATGCAATGCAATTTCTGACATAAAATTTCCAAGGGTATGACTCTTTTAAAAATATTTGATCAGCACTGATTTTTGCAATTTTCAGAAATATGCTAGTATAAACCTTTCGATATAAATTTGATAAAAATCTGGCAAAAATTGTAAATGAAAGGGCGCTGACAATGCAATTTTCCACATAATTAATATTTCCAAGGGCACAACTCTTTTAAAAATAATTGATTCACACTGATTTTTGAACTTGTTCAAGGCATTGTTGACATAAACCTATCATATAATTTTCAAAAAAATATTGCAAGAATTTTACACATGAGAGCGCTAACAATGCAATTTTCCACATAATCAATATTTCCAAGGGGCATAACTCTTTTTAGAATAGTTGATCGGCACTGATTTAAGAACTTGACCGAGGCATTACTAACATTAACCTATGATATAAGTTTTACAAAAAGCTGGCAAGAATTGTACAAGTGAGAGTGCTAACAAGATGGGACAGACCAACGCCCAGCATTTCTATGTCCCCACAACACATTTTGCAGGGAACAAAATTTATCAGAAGAACTAGTCCATTGATATGAATGCCTCAGCCACAACATATTACCTGTTTAACAGAACAAAGGTGAACCACAACTTGCAATACTGAAGTAAGTTTATTGGATTATCTCCCCTTTAACATGTTGGACAAGGATTATATTCCTTTCATCATATTCATGGAGAAAGTGTTATACAACTGAGCTAAGTTTCTATGTTTAAATTTGACAGAAATAGGATAGGATGTTAAATTAAAATTCATCTAGGCAAAACTTTTTTTTATTTTTTTTTCTCTCTTATTATCAGTTCTCTTCAATATCTGGTCTATAATGCAGAACTCACTATGAGTTTTTGTATCTATTCTTTTTTTTTATATATATATCTGTATGTTTTGTTATTTAAAGTATATTTAATTTTAAGCTATTTAAATTGTTAAGGAACATCCAAATTGTTATTTCTGTTATGGTATATATTTTTATTTTATTATGTCATTATAATGAGTAAATTATTAACAAATACTAATATCTGCATATATATGTTATTTACTAATGTTAACGAGGCCGGGATAAGGTACCGGTATTTGATGTATTCAATTAACAAATGAACAGATTTCAATAAAAAAAAAAAAAAAAAAAAAAAAAAGTTTCTAGACTTAACCAATTAGGAGAAGTTGTACTTATAAGGCACACTGACAGACAGATGGACAAACATACAGGGTAATTCATATATATCCCTTAAAACTTTGTTTGTGGGGGTATAAAAACATCTTAATTTAAATAACCACATAGAATAAAAATATCTGGCTGAGCCTTACTCAAAATATCGAAACAAACCTCAATTTAGCCTTTTCCACATAATCAAAAGGAACAACTTAAGAATATCAACTTGCATTTGACTTATATAAGTTTAGTAATCTCTTATTTCAATATTTTAACTAAATTGACTTTTTAAATATACAGAAAGCCAATATGGAGCGGGAGGCCAAGTGGAAGGATTGTCAAAATTGTTAACAATTAATCGCCATGTTGCAAACAGGGAATAAAAATGTCTGCATATGATTTTTTTATCTGCACATTATGTGTTTTTTCACAAAACTAATTGTTGGAAGGCATTTTTATGATGTTTTTTTTTGTTGCTCATGCATGTGTTTGCTTTGTTTTTCTAAAATATATTTGAATAATGATCATTTCATTAACCCATACCTACTTTTAAAGCACCACAGACTTCAACTGTTGTTTCATCTTCAATCACAACAATCCTGAAATAGTTTGTCTGAAATAGTTCTTTTAGTAGTGGACCATACTTCATGTCTTTACAACCTATAAATATAGCAAACAATACTAGAATCAGCCGGAGAAACAAATAATACAGATTACTACAGGCTATTAGATATGATTTCCTTTACATACCAGACAAATCTGTTATGTTTTTTATGTTGTGTAATGTTAAAATAAGGAAAATCTTTTTCTTGCTTGTATTAAATATTCTTTAACAGTCTCAGAGTTCACGAAAATGGTCGGTCCTGTCGGTCTAAATAAGGCTCGGACCAGTATTTTGAAGGCTAGTGCCGGTCCCGATGACTGATGTAAAAACGGCTGCTGTAGTGCATATTTCGGCACTTTTTTACATCGGTTATTAGATGTACCGCAACTGTTTCCAATAAGTGTTTACATCGGTTATCAGATGTACCCGCTGCCAATTTCCGATACTGGTTTACGGATTTATTATAAACAAACCAAAGCAGCGATCTACACGTGGCCTACTAAATTTGTTCATAGAGCCATCCCTGGCAAACAATCAGCGATTTAACCCTACAATGGAGCAAACAAATACTGTAACAGCCGAGAAAGTGATTCAGATGATGAAATGGATAGTGAAGATGACTTTTAATAAGAACAATCAGAAGACCTGAACTGGTCCTTCATTGTTAATTTGCCTGTGGATGCGAAGAATAAAACTAATATTAATAAAGTTATTTTTCGATAAAATATGTTATTAATTTTATTTCAGGATAAAATTGACAGATTTTGTAGGACTGGCTAAAATTTTGTAGGACTGACAAATAATCATGCTTTGTCGGTCCCATGACCGACGGGTCAAAATAAGTTTTCGCGAACTCTGCAATCTATATCTGCATCTGATCTGTAAAGACAATAAAGTTGTGTATTGGTGGTTGGTGTCATCTGTTTTTCTGTCCTATATTTTTGGTAATTCCTTGTTTCCTTTAATATATGTTATAACAATAATAACCATAAAATTAATGACTTCAAAAGAAAATACTTTACCAATAGTAGCTTCACAGTAATTTTCCATGGCGACTTCATTAGCAATATTTGCTCCCATCAGAGCAGCACAAGGTACTCCTAGCTGGTCCCTGATCACTGAGGATATAAGTAGAATACCGCCACCTTCTGCAACATCAAAACCCTACAAAAAAAGCTTTTTCACTGTAACAAATTTAACAATAAACAAAAATTGAGATTTTATTATTCTATTTACAAATTAAACAAGACAAATACTGGGTGAGGACATGTGTCGCTGCATTCAATTGATTGAGGTAAAATGTATACTAAAGCATAACTGATCTTTCCCTTTGTTTGAAGCCTAGAAAAATATGTATGACCAAAATTTTCCTTGTACAATGAGTGTAAAGTTTCAAACTATCAGCAAACAGGTAGTGACAGCACTGCAGATGTAAAAATTGTTTCTACACAACAATACATCATTATCAAGAGGCAGACCAAGTATAAAATCATTTCCTTACTAACAAGGCAAGAAAAAATATTTCATAGCAACAAGACTAAAACCTGGAAATAAGCATAATGTCATCATATGTTAGCCATAAAACATTGATGTTTGAAGTTTTTTCAACACCAACTAGGTTACAGATTGATTAATTACACTGTTGTCACTATTCTAACAAAATACCTCTGTCCACCTTCAATGACAAATGTTACAGGTGTACAAAAACATGTGAATAAATGTTTACCTTGATAAGGGAGACAGCTATAGCACCATCATTAACTTTTCCTTTAAGTTGCTTACATACTCCTCTAACAAACTGATGAGGTAGAACAAAGATTAGGATGTCTGCTCCTTCTGCAGAATCTTTTACATCCGGGATGGCAACCTGCCAAGAAAAACATTATTGCATTTTAATAATAAATTAGATAATGGGTCTAAAGGTATTGTAAATACAAATGTTTTGTATTCCTTTACTCATCAACATGCACAAGTAGTTTTCACACTAGGCTTCTCAACTGCCTCTATGGTCTTCAAGTAACAAACTCGCCTCAAATGTGGGAGGTTGTTAGATCAATCCAAAGTCAGGTAAACCCGCAATGCATTTACTATTGTCTCTAATATATTTTGACAGAAGGGAAGAGGATATTTCAAGATATCATGATTGATAACAGCAAGGGGAAACACTTAACAATAATAAATTGCCCACCATAAAAAATTTGATCAATATTAAAAATGAGTGTCTTTGTGAGTAAGCTCAAAAACCCCACGCCCCCCCAATGTTTCTGGGCCAACAAAATCTCACCAGATTCCTCAGTTCAAAGATCCATAACTCCTACTTAAAAGTTAACTGACAAAAATTTCTTGTAGATATGCACATCTACATATTATGTTCTCATTAATTACAAAGTTTCATGAAATTCTGTTGTGTGGTTTCAGAGGACTTACATTTGTACCATGACAAACTTTTGCAGTAGTATATTTACGCCAAAATTCAAAGTTCAAAAGGGGCATAACTCCTAGAAATCAAATTGAATCACACCCGGTAATTTCCTGTTGATATGCACATCAATAAACATGATCAGTCAGGGGACTTACTTAAATCACTGATTCAAGTAACATTATGTCCATAAAGGTTGGAAGTAAGAGTTGTCTTTCTTTAATAATCACCTTTTTAAGTAGTACAAATTAATCACTAGACTAAGTGATTTAACTATATTGTAGCTTTAAATATAGAATACTAATGATCCAGGGACTAATTATGTTGCTAAAATTATCAGAACCAACATCTGTGTTGATAGGATGACCGGGTCATGTCAGGTGATGACCTTGTACTAAAACTAGGATAATGACATAAAAATCACTTGTTTAAGTATCATACCTCAATTTCCTTCCAAAAAATCACTTCTTTAAGTATCATAATTTTAATAACCCCCACTAATTTCAACACCCCCAAACAGTTAAATTTTGATCGGGAACAGTAGAATTTTATTACATAATCTATAAGATGAAACCTTGAATTTTACAGGAAAAATACTCCCACTGCTGGGAAATATCTGTTAAGAAAGTATCAGTTCATTATGTAAAGCCATTTTTATAGCATTTTTTCAAATGAAATAGAATTTGCAGCTAAATGATTGCATCAAAGGCATAAACCTTGCTGCTTAAAAGAAGCAAAAAGTTCATTTTTTTTCAATTTTACTAATGAAAAGATATTATCTAAACCTATGTGTTTGGTAAAACTACAAAATCACAATTTGTGACAAAACTTCGAATTTGCTACTTAAATAAGTGATTTTAAAATCACTTATTTTAATAAGTCCCCTGACTGTAGTATATGTGTCCTTATCTACAAAGTTTCATGAAATTCTGTTAAGTGGTTTCAGAGGAGTTGCAATGACAAACTGCTGCAGTAGTATATTAAGGCTAAAATCTAAGTTCAAAGGGGCATAACTCTTCAAAAAAAAAATAGAATCACAATTTCCTGTTGATATGCACATCTACAAAGTATGTCCTTAATATCTAAAAGTTCCATGACATTCTGTTGAATGGTTTTACAGGAGTTGCAATGCCAAGAACAGGACTAAGGGACTGACGGACGGACGGATCAAAAACATTATACCATATGCAACAAAAAAAACACTAGAAAAAATGTCCCTAGAAAACCATGCCCACTCACAACATAAGATTTCTATGTGTAGAGAACCACACAATCTGCATAAAAACCCTAATTTAGCATACATATTTTAAAATTCACATTATGATTGTTGCTTGCTGAACATGCTGAATGTCTAGTGGCATACATAATGAATGTGTTTTCCAAGTTTATTTTAAACATTTAAAACGGTATTTGTTATACTTATTGTTCATTCCATATACCGAATAGTTGACCTATACATATATATAACTTATGGTATCTGTGTAGTGGCCTTTACCATGAAAACTAAAAGTTGATCAATGAACCATCATAATGAGTTTTTGGTCAAGTGACCCCTGCTAGACGGACATATACAAATGTACACCTTTCATAACAATCTTTCCATACACCAAATACATGTGACTTCTTGTTTGAACCTGTAGTATTCATTTATTTATTTTATGTGTTTTAACGCCACTTTTAAGCATCGCTTTTGGTCTATTTCGTGGCAGCCAGTTTTTATTGGTGGAGGAAGCCGGAGTGCCTGGAGAAAACCACCAACCTTCGATAGGAAAACTGACATTCCGAGTCAATTAAGATTGGAGTCAAGTGCACCCGCACGAGCGGGGTTCGAACTCACAACCTCAGTGTTGACTGGCTAGTGATTACAGTAGTAACTACTTAGACCACTCGGCCACCGAGGCCCCTGAACCTGTAGTATGTGAGATATAGTTTTGACTACTGATCTATGAGGTAAAGAGGTATCTTGTATTCTTCAAAGCAGGTGAGATAAAGACTATATATATGTATATTTTTCATTGATTTCCAATGTCTTAAATGTAACTTACAACATTCTCTGGAAGTTTAAAACCTGGCAAGTACTTCACATTTTCATGATCTTGGTTTATGATTTCTGTTAGCTTTCTGCCATTTACCATTTCTTCAAACACCCACATTTTGACCTCCTTTTCAAATTTGTCAGATTTTTCTATAACATTATTACCAACAATTTTTGCTATAGCTGACCCCCTACAAAAGAAATATAATGCTAAACTATTGAATTACTGTATGTTTCATTATCTAAAACAAAGTTGCTTTTCATAAAGTTAAACAAACCATGATTGAATATTAAATGTCCATGTACCTTTTAATTTCTGTCTGTAGACATGGTAGATATTTTCTGGTTAAGATACCACTAGACTTCTGCAACCACGTCAAAACCTATCTATTCCTATTAATATTTATGTGAATTTTGTTGTTTCTTGTGATCAAGTGATCATCACAACATTGCATTTGTAATTTTGTGCCAGTACTGTAAAAAAAAAAAATACATGTATGCCAGTTACATGTGTTCAATTCAATTCAATTGAATGTGATATTTATGGTTGATCATACTGATCATTTTTGCTATTGAAAGTTTTTCTCAATTAATTATAGGTTTCAGGATAATAGGTAATAGTTAAAGACTAAATTAAATCATTCTTCACATTTTTGCCCAATCAAATTTTCACTATCTATAGTGTTTTACAAGCTAATAGACAATACTTGCATTTTACCCCTATTTTCTATTTTGAGCATTGGTGGCAATGTTGGTTGGCAGGCTGAATCACTGGACATATTTTCAAGATAGATACACCATGAATGATTGTGGCCAAATGTGCTTTTATTTGGCTTAGTAGTTTTAGAGAAGACTTTTGTAAAAAGTTAAAGGGTGATGATGATGAACTCCCTTTGGCTTTGATAGCAATAGATCACAATGGCCCTTTGGTCAGTAATGTCTACAATACTGGCATTCCAGTATTGCAATCGCTACAGTTGATTCTTTACTCCTGTCATATCTTACTCTTGTCCTGATAGTAAATTCAACATTGTGCTTACTCAACTTTGATGCTCTGCTTCCTTCTTAAATTATGATCTTTCAAGAGTTAATATTATTTCTGATCCATCTTGCCGCTGCGGTGTGTATCGCAAAGATTCACATCATTTCCTTTTTAAATGTACACTGTATATTATATTCAAAAATACGAAGTAAGCTTTTAGAAAATCTTAGCTGGCTCCTATAAATTACTGTTCATTAAATATAGAACTATTAACCTCAGGTAGTAGTCTACTTACTCAGGAGCAAAATGAAAATATCTTTGAACTTGTGTTTCAGTTTATTCGAGGGTCAATAGATTCCTTATTGTTTAGATAGTAAAACATGACCACATTCACATCATCATCTAAGTGCAATTGTTTTTTGCTTTTTTGCGTGAACCCTCAAGGTTCACGCATATTAATTAGTTAGAAATAAAGTCTATGGAGGAATATTCGGAAGCTAAATTATTCTTCATTCGGAACACTTATTCATCGTATCTGTATTAACCTCCTGCAATTAAGAGCACCTACATATGGGGGTATCTGAGATATTTAAAACGTCGCAATAAAGAAATTGTCACAAATCGCTTATTCTCTTATCTGATATATGATAATAAACTAAATGTATCTACAGATCACTTTCAAACATGTATGTTAAAGCTATATTTATGCATCGTAAGTGTTTACTTGAGCAAAGTTGACAGTTGCAACGTTTGATAAACAGGTGAAAGTTAAATGGTCAAGATTTAGCGACCTATGGTATCGAACATCAGTGCCAGATATTAATAGTGTTGTGGTTTCTACATAATGAGTTCTAGTAGGCTTTGGGATTTGTTGATTTGTAACAATAAATTTTATGCACATGTCATTTTGACAAATCAGATAAACAAAAATGTCTGTTTCAAAAACTGAAAATAAAACAAATAAAATAAAGACTGTTTGTTAATATTCCCAGGAAATAATCATATTCTTAATAATAAAAAAATATATTATATACTTTTTTAAATAAGGAAATAGAGTTAACAATTGCATGTTAATCTTTCATGAGGTCTTTAAAAAATATGTTATGCAAAAGAAAAAAATACAAATACACAAAACAATTAACTCTAGATTTTTACACTGAATAAGCATATACAATGGATTCTGTAAACATGGAAAGTTAGAAAAAGAGTGTATTTGATCTTACGTTCGGGTATTTGTTTAAGCAATTATATATCAATATAAGAATTAAGATTGAAAATACATAATATACTGAGACCAACATTCTTTTAATAAATATATCTGAATTTATGAAATTGTGTTTTAAAGTTGAAAATTATTTTGAAATGCGGTTCCTTCAACCAACATACGTAATAAATCTCAAGATTTAAACCGTGTTTGCTAACTTAATAAATGTTTGTTGCCTATAATTCAGAATTTTATCAGTGTTTCGAATGTAAAAGTTAAGCCTCTTCAATAATGGTTATATAATTAGATCAAGAAATCTCTCAATGCGTCTCGTGGGAGAGTTACACTTATTGATAATTGGTCGGTAAGGAACATTTAATGTCTCCTACTATCTGACCAGTTCGCAATGCCTCATTAATTATGTCTAGATTTATTTTATGAATGTTTGAAAGAAGGTACATGTGTCCATGTTTTGAATCATTATCATTCTTTAAGAAAGTATACGTCTGGGAATCCAATTCTTTTTATGCACCCTACGTGGCGGTGGGGGCATTAAGTTTTACCCTTAACTGAGTTGGTTTCTGTTTTCTAACTTAAGTTTGCCTCAAACAAATGTTATGAAACTTATACACAATGCTTATTACCACAAAATACAGATCAAGTTCAAAATTGGTGGCGTCACTTTAACCTTTCTAGAATTATGCCCCTTTTCAAATGCAAATTGCGGAATTTTTCATTTGCGTTCTCTAACTTTAGTTTTCCTCAACCAAATGGTATGAGACTTATACACAATGCTTATTACCACAAAACACAGATCAAGTTAGAATTTTGGTTGTGTAATGTTTACTGTTCTAGAGTTATGCCCCTTTACAAACATAAAAGTTTCCGTTCTCTTACTTAAGTTTACCTCAACCATACATTATGAAACTTATACACAATACCTATTACCACAAAAGTCAGATCAACTACAAATTTGGGTAGTGTCACTTTTGCCGTTCTTCAGTCATGCCCCTTTAAAACTTTATATGATATGCAAGCTGGGGCATCATGGGTGTCCCATGGACACATTCCCTTTTTATTTTCATCTCACTTTATGATTAACACCACTCTCATATTGTCATGATTTACAATAATTTAAAAAGAAAATATCATCCTCCACACACATGGCCATGAAAGCACTGAGATAAAATTTTTAATTTAGTTGAATTAGTAAATAGCATAAAAAAGTTCTAAGGTTCACGTATTGTCTTTTTTTTTTAAAAAAGCAACTTGTTTTTTATTTTTTTGTATTTATTATATTATTTCCTTGTTGTTTTTTGTGTTCTTTTATTTTTTCTCTCTCTTCTTCTTTTGTGCCACTTAATTTTTCTGTCCAATTTATACAAATGTTAAAATAATATGTAATGTATTCATGCTCTTTTACATTGACATTGTATTGTTAAATATGTTAAATGGAGAAGACTTCACAGACTTGTCTCTCATCCAATTACTTTCAAAAACATGAAACAACTAATATACATTGTAATAAAATGCTTCGCTGGGCGCAGCTTGATACGACCGCAGAGGTCGAACCCTGAACAGTTGGGGCAAGTATGGACACAACATTCAAGCTTGATACAGCTCTGAATTTGGATTGTGATTAAATATTTGACACAGCATAGGTTTCTGACACAGAAAGAATGTGGTCTAAGAACTTCAATTTTTTTAATTTACCTATTATGGTCCAATGTCCAAAATCAAAATACATGGTTAGATTCAGCATATCAAAGAACCCCATATATTCAATTTTTGTTGAAATCAAACAAAGTTTAATTTTGGACCCCAACTTGGACAAACTTGAAAACTGGTCCCATAATCAAAAATCTAAACACATGTTTAGATTCAGCATATCAAAGTACCCGAAGAATTCAATTTTTGTTAAAATCAAACTAAGTTTAATTTTGGACCCTTTGGACCTTAATGTAGACAAATTTAAAAAACGGGACCCTAAATTAAAAATCTAAAAACACAGTTAGATTTGGCATATCAAAGAACCCCTATAATTCAATTTTTGATGAAATCAAACAAAGTTTAATTTTGGACCCTTTTGACCTCAATATAAACCAATCTGATAGCGGGCCCACAAATAAAAAATCTAAATACATGGTAAGATTCAGCATATCAAAGAACCCCATATATTCAATTTTTGTTGAAATCAAACAAAGTTTAATTTTGGACCCCAATTTGGACCATCTTGAAAACTGGGCCAAAAATCTAAAATCTAAATACATGTTTAGATTCAGCATATCAAAGAACCCCATATATTCAATTTTTGTTGAAATCAAACAAAGTTTAATTTTGGACCCCAACTTGGACCAACTTGAAAACTGGTCCATAATCAAAAATCTAAACACATGTTTAGATTCAGCATATCAAAGAACCCCAAAAATTCAATTTTTGTTAAAATCAAACTAAGTTTAATTTTGGACCCTTTGGACCTTAATGTAGAGCAATTTAAAAAACAGGACCCAAAATTAAAAATCTAAATACACGGTTAGATTTGGCATATCAAAGAACCCCAATAATTCAATTTTTGATGAAATCAAACAAAGTTTCATTTTGGACCCTTTTGACCTCAATATGAACCAATTTGATAGCGGGCCCACAAATAAAAAATCTAAATACATGGTAAGATTCAGCATATCAAAGAACCCCATATATTCAATTTTTGTTGAAATCAAACAAAGTTTAATTTTGGACCCCAATTTGGACCAACTTGAAAACTGGGCCAAAAATCTAAAATCTAAATACATGTTTAGATTCAGCATATCAAAGAACCCCATATATTCAATTTTTGTTGAAATCAAACAAAGTTTAATTTTGGACCCCAACTTGGACCAACTTGAAAACTGGGCCCATAATCAAAAATCTAAACACATGTTTAGATTCAGCATATCAAAGTACCCGAAGAATTCAATTTTTGTTAAAATCAAACTAAGTTTAATTTTGGACCCTTTGGACCTTAATGTAGACAAATTTAAAAAACGGGACCCAAAATTAAAAATCTAAATACACGGTTAGATTCGGCATATCAAAGAACCCCAAGAATTCAATTTTTGATGAAATCAAACAAAGTTTAATCTTGGACCCTTTGGACCTCAATGTGGACCAATTTAAAAACGGGGCCCAAAATCCAAAAACTTAATACACGGTTAGATTCAGCATATTAAAGAACCCCAAGAATTCAAGAATAAAACCCCATTGAAATTGATCAAGAAATAAGCAATTTATACGAAGTATCTTCTTTTGCACAATACTGTGCAATTGAATATTTCTTGCTATTGCGCAATACTGTACAATTGACAATTTCTTGCTATTGCGCAATATTGTGCTATTGGATATTTCTTGCTATTGCGCAATACTGTTAAATTGAAGATTTCTTGCTATTGCGCAATACTGTGCAATTGAAGATTTCTTGCTATTGTGCAATACTGTGCAATTGAAAATTTCTTGCTATTGCACAATACTTATTATATAATAATTTACACATCCTGTTTGGTGTGTATCTCCTACCATATCATTATTATTTGCTTTTAAATATAAATCAGAAATAACCAACTTAAAATGGAAAATTTTAAAAGAAAAAAAAAAGGAAAAAAAGAAAAAAAAAAAAAAAAAAAATCCCCCCCCCCCCCCAAATTTTTTGAACCCCCTTATGATTCATCACCCCAAAACTCAATCCCAGCCTTCCCTTTGTGGTATGGTACCTTGCAGTACAATTTCAGAGAGATCCATACACTTGAACACAAGTTATTGTCTGGAAACTAGAAAAATGCTTATTTTTGGCCCCTTTTTGGCCCCCAATTCCTAAACGTTTCGGGCAATTACCCCCAAACTCAATTCCAGCTTTCCCTTTGTGATATGGAACCTTGTAGTACAATTTCAGAAATATCCAAACACTTACACACAAGTTATTGTCATGAAACTAGAAAAATGCTTGTTTTTTGCCCCTTTTTTGGCCCCTAATTCCTAAAATTTTGAGGCAATTACCCCCAAAATCAATTACAGCCTTCCCTTTGTGATATGGAACCTTGTGGTACAATGTCAGAGAGATCCGTACACTTACACACAAGTTATTGTCTGAAAGTTACAAAAATGCTTATTTTTGGCCCCTTTTTGGCCCCTAATTCCTTAACCTTTGGTACCATAACCCCCAAAATCAATCCCAACCTTCCTTTTGTGGTATTGAACCTTATGGTGAAATTTCATGGAGATTCATTCACTTAAACTAAAGTTAGAGTGCGAAAACCAATGTGTCTTCGGACGACGCCGGACGACGCCGGACGACGACGACGACGACGACGACGCCAACGTCATACCAATATACGACCAAAAAATTTTTAATTTTTGCGGTCGTATAATAAAAACATTTATTAGGCTTATGAAATGGAATCACACAACACAATAGTTCAATAATACAGAGTTCGCGAAAATGGTCGGTCCTGTTGGTCCTGTCGGTCAAAATGAGGCTCGGACCAGTAATTTGAAGGCTAGTGCCGGTCCCGATGACCGATGTAAAAAAGGCTGTTGTAGTGCATATTATGGCACTTTTTTACATCGGTTATTAGATGTACCGCAACTGTTTCCAATAAGTGTTTACATCGGTTATCAGATGTACCCGCTGCCAATTTCCGGTACTGGTTAACGGATTTATTATAAACAAACCAAAGCAGCGATCTACACGTGGCCTACTAAATTTGTTCATAGAGCCATCCCTGGCAAACAATCGGCGATTGAACCCTACAATGGAGCAAACAAATACTGTAACAGCCGAGAAAGTGATTCAGATGATGAAATGGATAGTGAAGATGAATTAATAAGAACAATCAGAAGACCTGAACTGGTCCTTCATTGTTAATTTGCCTGTGGGTGTGAAGAATAAAACTAATATTAATAAAGTTATTTTTCGATAAAATATGTTATTAATTTTATTTCAGGATAAAATTGACAGATTTTGTAGGACTGGCTAAAATGTTGTAGCGAACTCTGATAATAATCAATAAACAAATTTAAGAATATCCTAAATAGTAATTCAAAAATTGTTAATACATAAAATTAACCCTAAAGACCAGTAGAAAAATATAATTTAATACAAATTTATAAATAGGCCATGGGTGGGCGGGTTAAAAATGTTCTCTTAACTATCGAAATTGTTGATCAATGCTCCAACTCAAAAATTATATAAAAAGAACTCAGTGTTTACCGGGTGAAAACATATCTTGGGAGTGAAGAAAAAAGGTATGTAATTTAACAGGTAAATGAAAGCGAGTAGAATTCAACTGATAATCCAATAAGAAAAGTTATGACATACTAAAGATGATGAAAATTAAGTAGCAATTAAACAAATTTAAATCGTTAAGAGCAGAAAAAACAATAATGAATCCGTGAAAAAGTTAAATCTAGCAAGAATGGAAATTTCTTTCACAGTAATTTATCATTTTTATTAAAATAAAAATTTCCAAATTTGTGTTTATGGAAATAAAATGTTTAAACTAAAAATTAAAACTACAATCCAGATAATCGTGTTGTCTACTGAGGGTGTTTTTCTAGTTTGATTTTTTTTATCCCTTATTATCACAGGAAGCACAAAATTAATAAAAAAAGGTTTCCTTGACGTCAAAATTATTTGGACTAATCTTAAAATGATAAAAATTTATAAGACAGGGCAAAGTCCAGAGACAACAGTATTTTTTATTATTGCAGCTGGAAATTCTCTTTAAACTCTTAAACTTCTTTTTCTTTCACCTACCAATTTCCAGATCCAACAATGCATACTCTCTTTTTGGATGACATCTTGCGTTGAGGTAGTTTATATAAAAAATCACTTCATCAGAAAATCATACAACCGGTCTTACACGCTGCCAAGGTAAATACCTTGACCTTCCATTTAAAACGAGTTATTTAATTGGTCAATTGGGACAATCCATAAAGTTCAAAATAAGTATACTCCTGGAATGTTCCGAGTATTTTCCCGCGGATTTTCTAAGGGGAGTGACTAGGAGCGTAAAACGTCCCGAACTTGTGTGTTAATTTATCAAAATGTTCATATAAACCAATTGATTATTCCTGTAGTTCATAGATACTTCTAAAAATATTTTTTTTTAAATTTACCTAAAATTACAACCTTACCAGGGCAGTTCACAGATATCGATTCAACCCGAGTGATCGATTTAGCGACCACGACCATGATTGTCATGCGTACTCTTAGCTGCTTAGATGCACAATTCCAAGAAAAAGACCAGAAAGGACCTTCTTCCAATACTCAAAGGGAAACTACGATCAGATAAGAGAAGATACAATGATTTCACCAGAGACAAATACTTCAATGGCCACCAAAACACCCCAGGAATGTAGAAGAAATTAAACTGGCCTTGAACATGATAAAAGAATTTATACTAGGAAACACCAAAATAAATGTACCAACTAAAACATCAAAAGGAAAACAGTCAATGCCATGAATGGATAACATAAAGGTCATGATAAAACAGAACACACGCCAATTATAAACAAAACTGTGAGAATAAAACGAAAATGGCAAGAATTAAGACTCACGGTTAACAAGGAAATTGAAACAGCCCAGAACAACTACGTCAACAACTTAATAGGCGATATAAAACAGGATTCTAAACCATTGTGGATATATATTAACAGCCAGAAGGCCGACAAACAGGGAATACCATATACCAAAGATAGTAAGATCGCCGAAACAGACCAACAGAAAGCGGATAAACAGTTTAAATTACAAGCGTTTATACTTAGACAGAATACGAATCCATTCCATACCAAACTCCACTTGTAGACAAAATGAGGAACATCACAGCAACAAGAAAAGGAGTGGAGAAGATACTAAAACACATTAATGCGTCAAAAGCGATGGGTCCTGATGGTATACACCCAGAGTACTAAAAGAATTGGCACCTAACATATCGGAGGTAAGGGCTCACATTTTCCAACAATTCATCAACAGAGGAACCACCCCAGAAGAATGGAAAAGTTGTAATATATGCCCATTATTGAAGAAAGAACGACAGAACCATCCCGAGTAATTATATCTCTAACATGTATTACTTGCAAACTACTAGAACATATGTCATTTGCTCGAACCTAATGCAGCACTTTGAAGGTTACATTATCCTAAATAGCATTTAGAAGACGACACAGCTTAATATCAAACACAATTAAAGATTGGAACCTACTACCACCGGATATTTTCACCAAGATTCAAACAGCTGAAGAACCAGCTGAAACTTTCAGTGATATTGTAAGGGGTCCCACTTAAGTAAATTACTTGACGCACGTGCGGGGTAGTAATATTATTGGATGTTTCACCGTATACCTATCAAAATCAATATCCTTCAATGGATGTTTCACCGTATACATATCAAGACCCCGACCTATTTCTAGTCCATATCAACGACATAGCAGATTTGCATCCTATTTAACAAATATAAAACAACAGATTAAAGTTAGCAGGGTTCTGGGCTGTTGGATGCCATCAAATAAAGCCACAGTGTATCACATGGCTCAATTTTGGGTCCTATAGAAGGCATCTCAGCAACTGAAAATATCAAAACGTTTGGGTCCATATTTGAAAAGAATTAGTAAAAACAAAACTATTTCCCCCATTTTTATACTGAGTTATTTCAATTTTGCACTTTTAAATGACCTTTTCGTAAGTCAGTGAAAAAGCCCACAACTTGAATATCCTGATAAAGTGAAAGAAACTAATACCCATTTCGTTTTGTGTATACGACGATTCTGAGCATGTCGTGATGACAACTTGTACTAGAGGAACTATTGATTATAACTGGAGTGCCGCCTAGACAAAACAAGACAATTTTATTCTTTAAAACTACTGTTAACACTTTGGTATAAAGAATGAAATAATAAAAATTGTATACAAATAAATTTTGTACATGACAAGATAAGAACGTTACAATACAAGATCATTCGGTTATTATAATAGAAAAACAGACAGACAAAGGCTAACCAAGAAGACTTGTTAGTGAATTTATAACCTTTATGAATTTACATATATTTTCTGACATATTTCTATTACATTAATCTGTTACAATAATATTTATCCAAAACTGTTTTCTAGAGTCGACTAAAGTTCAACATTTCAAAATAAAATAAAAAAATTCACCTTATTCTTATAACATTGACATAAAGTATGATATCTTCTTTGTCTATCTAAAAGAGGGACGAAAGATACCATAGGGACATTCAAACTCATAGATCGAAAACAAACTGACAACGCCATGGCCAAAATAAAAGACAAACAAACAAATAATAGTACAGATGACACAACATAGAAAACTAAAGTCTAAGCAACACGAACCCAACCAAAAACTGGGGGTGATCTCAGGTGCTCCGGAAGGGTAAGCAGATCCTGCTCCACATGTGGCACCCGTCGTGTTTTCAAATATGAAAGTTATTGTGCAATAAAATTCATTTTTAGACAGCTGAGTACTAATTTAGGCTTCAAAGATGGTTTATAAGAACATAAAGATTATTTTTTACATGTTTTATGGGCTATTTTCTGTTTGACTCTCCGTATTTTCATAGCTAGACCGGCCAAAGGTCCAGAAATTAATGTAATGTTTACTAACACTTTTTTTCTACACGAAGTTTTTGGCGCAATTTTACAAAAAAATGAGATGAAAGACATATCATTTTTATTGGATTTCTTGATAGATATATGTAAATAGTTTCAGGAAAGGTACTGCTCCAAGCGATTGAAATTCTACTTCTGGCCAAATTTTGGGTAAATATGTGACATCTTTTCCCCCCTATTGCAATATTTTATAACAAATAAATGCAGATTGTTGCCATGGATACACCAAAAAGAAATTATATTTTACCATTTTAACTACCGTGGATATAAAATCTATGGAAGATTCTGAGTACATACATATGCACATATATGACACAAACAGTAAGCTTTATTTGCAAGAAAGCAATGAAAAGGGGATGGTAAAATTTATGATGGTAAATTTTAATATTTTTTCCTAACTGTTTATTGCTATACCGTATGTTATTACAAATCCGGTAAATAGTCTAATACGGTAGGTCACATTCGTGAAACCTATACCCATCTGCCAGTTACAATTGATAATCTATGATTACCAGTTCTAAATCTGCAAAATATCACCCTAACTCTATCTGGTAATATATCTTACAGCCGATTTCAACGAGTGTGTAGCTAAAGATAGAATCTTTGGTTAGCTTCCTTGCTAGCTCAACCATGAAATCATAATTAGGTAAGGCACATCCAGCCTTTGGGTGGAGTCCAATAGTTAAGCAGAGAACCAATCAGAATTAAGTGACAGAATATAAAAATTGTAAAACTAGTTTTACAAGTCAGTTTAAAAATAAGTTTTCAATCTAAATTTAAAATTTAGTGATAATTATAAGCTCATTCACAAGCATGCATGTTGTAGGTGTGTTTGATTTGCCAAAATGATGAAAAGTTAACTGAAAGCTGAAATTCCTTATTTTTTTCTTCTTCGTCAGACATTGCAAATAATAATATATTTAACTTGTCTGTTGAATTTGTTACATCAAGTTAATAAAATGTAGTTGAATATGATTGACAATTGTAAGTGCTGACCGTATTCACTTATACACATACACATATGTTTAAAATACACCCGGACAGGTAAAAAAAGATTGGAAGGTGTCCAAAAGTACATATGACCTGATCATTCAATCTAGGTTAGATTAAAACTGAAGTAGAGATATAAAAATTGTTCTTCATGGCTGCATTATTTATCTAAAACTAATAAGTAAGGTAATGTTAATGGACCAAGTGGATGTTCATAAACTCTCCAATATTTCCAATTCCAGACTGCAGTTGTTTGCTGTTTTTTTTCGTTGCATTTTTAACTAAATAAAAGGTCCACAAATGCAACCGTGCATGATATTGAGTAGTATGATATTTTTTTCTTTTCTGTGTGAATACAAAAGATTTTAGTTCTAAAAACTATGCATATACATGAAGAAAAGACACCAAGACCATAACAATGTTTTTTTTGCGTGCACCTAAAGACACTAATTAACTTAACTGCCTATTCACGGCGTAAATATTAAAAAAAAACGATATTCCGCTTCTAATTTGTTGTAATAAAAAGATTTTTTAATTCAATCAAAGACTAAGAAATGAAATTTTATGTGCAAAGTAGTCTAGGTAAATCTTTGTATGAAACATACATATATATTATAAATAATAAACAGGCCATTGATATAAATGTTTTCATTGGATGATAAAATGGTGCTTTGCTCCTCCAAATCTTAAGGTAATAATCATTTTATGGTTGAGCTAGCAAGGAAGCTAACCAAAGATTCTACCTTTAGCTACACACTCGTTTGAATCGGTTGTAATATTTTTCTGCCGAACTTAAACTTATCCTTATATAATCTGTATGGAAAGTCTTTTGACGAATTATATATATCTGAACGCCAGTTTTGTTGAAATTGATCAAATATAAATTTGTTTTAACTGTCATTTAGCCATTTTGCGCTAAAGTCTCCGGGTTGTACCAACCAATTATGACTAAAACCACAAGCACCAAGAATATTTTTGATGAAATTAACCCATTCAGACGTATAATTAATTTGTGGATATTTGTTAAAAGCATAAAATTACACAAAATGTGTGACAACTTAATTTCTTTGCCGTGCACAATCCTAGGCCAATAATTTACCATACGCAGTTTATCATAAACTGCCGGGTCTCGGTGGCCGAGTGGTCTAAGTAGTTACTACTGTAATCACTAGCCAGTCAACACTGAGGTTGTGAGTTCGAACCCCGCTCGTGCGGGTGCAATCGACTCCAATCTTAATTGACTAGGATTGTCAGTTTTCCTATCGAAGGTCGGTGGTTTTCTCC